CACAGATCACGTGCCCATTTAAAGTGTTCGGTTCAATGGTTTTTTACTGCGTTTACAGCTGGGCAACCAACTATCGGCATAAACAATTTTAGAACATTTCCATCACCTCAGAAAGGTGATGTACCCTAGCAATTACTCAGTCACATAAGGTAGAGATGAAAAAATACAGAGAGAAAGAGATGGGGTCTTGCTCTGTCACCCAGGCTGGAGGACAGTAGCTCACTGCAACCTCAACCCCCCCGGGCTCAGGCAATCCTTCCACCTCAGCCTCCCAAAGTGCTGGGATTGCAGGCATGAGCCACTACACCCTGCTGAAAACATGTTTAAGCTTTGAGAAAAGAGAAGGGTTGGACAGGGCTGTGTGAGGAACGCTGAGGAGGATTCCGCTGTGCGGTGGCTTTACTATATGGCCACAGGTCCCTTCCCTTCTGTTCTCCGATTCCTGGTTTTCTCCTCCTAATACAAATAGGTGTTTATTTATTTATTTATTTATTTAGAGACAAAGTCTTGCTCTGTCACCCATGCTGGAGTGTGGTGGCGTGATCTCAACTCACTGCAACCTCTGCCTCCCAGGTTCAAGTGATTCTCCTGCCCCAGCCTTCCCAGTAGCTGGGATTATAGGCACATGCCACCACGCCCAGCTAATTTTTGTATTTTTAATAGAGATGGGGTTTTACCATGTTGGCCAGGGTGGTCTTGAACGCCTGACCTCAGGTGATCTGCCCACCTTGGCCTCCCAAAGTGCTGGGATTACAGGTGTGAGCCACCATGCCTGGCTAAATAGGTATTTATTGAGTACCTGCTGTGTGCCAGGCTCCAGGCCGGGCGTGTCACAGATCATCTGAAACCAAAAGCAGACACGTGACTTCTTCAGGTCCCTACGCTGGCTGGTGACAGAAAGGGGCGTGGAATAGGGGATGGGGGGTAGGCAGAGGTTCTGACTCCCAGCTGAAGGCCACTGCACCAGCTGCTTCCACGTTTTACTTCCTGAGCTGCCCCAGTGACAGGTGGGGAAATTGGGGGTGGGTGGGAGGGGCTTCTTTTTTCTCCCAGGCTGAGGAGGGCCCTGCCACAGGTTGACACTAAATAGTTGTTTCACCCTCCGGTAGCCACAAGCAGCAGCGCAGGTGTCAGGCCTTGGGGCCCAGGAGGCAGAGTCCCTTCCCACTGTCCCCAGCACCAGCACCCTCACACACACGCAAGGCGTCTGTCTGGGTGTGACTAGGTCTGTTGGACCATTCCAAAGCACTCACTTTCAAGCGTAACCTGGGCGCTGGAGGCAGGTGGGCAGACAAGTTCCTGACATTTGGGGAGATCAGGGGATTCCTAAGGCAGTTTAAGCGGAGGTCAGGGAAAGTATCCCAGAGACCTGAAGGATAAGTGGAAATGAACCAGAAAAGACCAGGGGGTGGGTCTGCCTATTCCTAAGCGGAGGGAGTGACTCACGCAGAGGCCTGGGGATTTCACTCTGGCTAGAAGGTAAGGGGAAGAGGCACGGTGAAGGAGGAGCCGTGGCTGTGGTGGATGGGCTGAGCCATAGGAGGAAGGGTGAACTTTCTCCTGGAGGCACTAGGGAGCCACAGAAGGATTTTGAGCAGGGGAGAGACAGAATCAAATCGAAATGTTATGGGTTTTCTTTTTTCTTTCTTATTTTTTTTAATATAAGCTGAATAAACGGAAAATTTTAGAGAGATCAGCCTGACTGCTGACTGCTGTGTGGGAGGGGTTGGAGCAGGCCAAAGAGGAGGCTGTGCCAGTGCGGGTTCTGGGACCATCCTGGATAGTCGAGGCCCAGGGTTTGTAGGGGCATGAGGGAGGGGAAGGGATCCTACTTTGTCTACAAAGCAGGAGCAGGCCCCCTCGGAGAAAAATGACAGTGATCCCAACACCCCAAATCTCTTCTCACAGCCATGCTTGATGCTTGCGAGAGAAAGAGGCGATTCTCAACATTCTGTGGAAGAAGAAACAGAATGAAGAGACCTGCCTGGGTCACATAAAAGCTGGTCGATGGCCAAGCCTCAATTCTGGGGGGATTAGGGTGACCCCAAAGTGAAAACATCCCAGCGGCTGGCTCTTCCTTCCAAAATACCTGGCCCTGGGCTATGGGGGGTTTAGCTGAGGAGCCAGGGTGAGGACCCAATGTCCTCAGGCCACCTTCCAGGCTCCCTTGGGCCCTGGCAGACCTCAGGCTCCCCACCCCATGTACCCAGACAATGAGCCTAAGGTCTGCAGCGGGTATCGTCCAACCACAGCCTGCAGGCTTTGTCCTTGGAGACAAGCAGCCTGTCACAGCTGCCGGCTGTAAAGCGGATGGATGGGCCTTGGCTACCAGCCGGACGATGCCCACGCTCTGCAGAGGGGAGATTAGGCCAGCCATGGCCCAAACCAGTCCCAACTGCTCAGGCCTCAAATCGGGATCCACTGATGCCCTGCCCCTCCATGGTACCTGACCATCTTCAGGAATGATTCCTGAAAATGTGATCCCCTAGAGGGAAGGGAGTTGGGCTAGGGGAGCCAGGGCAGGGACATTGCCAAAGGTGGGAAGGTCATTGCTTAAGATACAGAGAGAGATTTGGGGTGGGACAGGAAGGGCATGGTGAGGAGGGCCGGAGGTACACAAAGGAGACTGGCAGCACTGGGGTTCGGAGGCTGCCCTGCAGCCCGCCCCTTCCTCGCTTTGTGACCTTGGGCCAGTCCCTTGGTGATCTTGGACTCAGTTTGCACATACGTAAAATGGGCTCCCAAGAATCCCTGCCTTGAGTTAGGTGGTGCAAGCATAGGAAGGCCCAGCCAGGACCAAGTGGATCAAGGCTTCATCTTCAGCCTCTCCTTCCGCCCTTCTCACTGGCTCTGGAAACTGGGACTGGGTGGGAAGTGGGTGGGTCGCAAACAGAAGAGAACCAAGTCCTGCCCACGTTTTCCCGGCCCAGGAACCTGGGAAATGCTCTGAGCTCTGCCTCAGGCAGAGGCCTCTTGTCTCCTAATTTTTAACTTGAAAATTATCAAACCTGGAGAAAAACTGAAAGAATAGCAACGGAACGCCAATATATCTTCCACTTTGATTACCCTTTGTGGGAAGTAAAAAGTTCCTCTTCAGAGTTTCCTTTCTTGTTAAAGAATAAATCATAAGTGTGCTAATAACTCTTTGTTAAGTCCTATCCAATGTGGCTATTAGACATGCTTATAGTCACGTAGTATATTCTATGTCCTTATACTTTAACCAAGATATCTATCTGTGCTGGGCGTGCTCACAGGCATGTCCCAGCTTGCAGCCTATCCCCTTACCTGTTTAGAAAAGTTTTAAGTTATTAGCCAATCAGGTTTTAGTTTAGATTGTGAGGTCTGGCTCCAACCAACGGAGATCAGACACAGCAGTAAGGATAACCCCAAATGCAACAGAGATAACATGTCTGCTTTTCCTTTGTTCATTGTACTCTCGTGGCAAGATGGCTAGCAAGGGTACCCCTCCTGCAGTGCAGGAAGTGAAAAAGTAAAAATTGCTTTGTTGAGAGATCCTTTGTCTCAGTGCTGATTTTTCTTGGCGGCACCCAAGCATCTGTTTCCAACACCCTCCTTCTTAAGATAAACCATCAGAAGAGCAAGACCCTGTCTCAATATATATATTAGATATATATAAATTATATATATTATATATATAAAATATGTAAAACAAAATAAAAATTGTTGCCAGCAAGCTTTTTTTGGAGGGAGGTCAGAGTCTCGCTCTGTCACCCAGGCTGCAATGCAGTGGCATGATCAACACTCACTGCATCCTCAACCTTCCAGGTGCAAGTGATCCTCACACTACAGCCTCCCAAGTAACTGGGACTCCAGGTGTGCACCATCACACCCAGCTAATTTTTAAATTTTTTTTAGAGACAGGGTCTCCCTGTGTTGCCCAGGTTGGTCTCAAACTCCTGGCCTCAAACTATCCTCCTGTCTGGGCCTCCCAAAGTGCTATGACTACAGGCATGAGACATTGCACCCGGCGTGGCAAGCCACCTTTTAAATACGTTTTTGACAAGAATGCAAATGGACTGTGTGCCAGGCACCATGTACTAGCTACAGGCTTGGTACATGTTAAGTCAAAGTAACTTAAATCTCACAGCAACTCCATGAGTTATGCACTATTTATCATCCACACATCACAGATGGGGAAACTGGCTTTGAGAAGAAATCAGGTGCCATGCCTTAGGTCAGAGCCATCATGAACTTGGATGAACGTGGATGGATCTATCTGCCCGCAAAGCCTGGCCCTGAAGTCATTCAGTCTAACCTCCCCCCTAACCAGGAATCTCTGCTACTGAGGCCAGGGAGGTATGGCCCCAAGTCCCTACTCCATATGTCCGTGGGGGATCTTTGCCTCTGCATCCCCCACCCCCTCAGTTTCCCTCTGCAGCCCTTGTCCTGGCTCTACCCCTATTCCCTTCCCCAGACAGGCTCTCCCTGCCCTCCCTGCAGTAACTTTAGAATGGCCTGGATGAAGACCCAGAGAGCCAGGTTCAAGGCCCAGTTCAGCCACTGGCCTACCCAGCGTTGAGAGCTCTCAGTTCTTCTCTGGAAAATGGGTACGCCTTTCCCCAGCCCTTTCTGGCAGCAGGTGGAAGGTACAGGAGAAGCATCCTGCAGGGAGCCGGCTCAGGGCAGGTTAGGCCAGGCACTGAGTGCTGCCCCCTCCCCGACCATCTTCCACTGGTTCGCTTTGGATCCAAGTCTCACGAGTGGCCCCTTCTAATCGGGTGAATCGAACCCGTGTGTTTGGGGGAGAAGTGACAACAGGCCCGGGGCGAGTGCCTGAAGCTCTCCTACCACCCACCGGGAGACAGGTCTCTGTCCGGTGGAGCCAGGTCGGGGGCCCAAGAGAACGGGGTGGGGAGTTGAAAGGGGCGTGGCCAGGGGAGGGGTCACCTGTGGCCGAGGGGCGGGGTCTCCTAGCACGGGCCCGGGCACCACCCAGGGCCCGCCTCCGCCTCCCCGACTTCAGTCCCTGCAGACGCCTCGCAGACGGTGAACAGCCACAGGCGCCAGGCCAGGCGAAGCGGCTGAGCAACTGGAGCTGGGAACAGGGGAGGGACCAGCGGGTGAAGGGGAGGCCCCTGACTCAGGCCCTGGCGCCTCGCGGAAGAGGGACGCGCAGTGGCGGACAAACTTCGCATCTCTCTCTCGGACCTCAACGAGTTGGTGAGCAAGAAAAGTGGGTGCCAAGGGGCTTGAAGGCGCGAATGCAGGCAGAGGTGAACGAGGGAGTGCTTCTCAGAGTCCAAAATGCGGGAGCCACCGCGACCTCTGGTGAGGGGAGGACTTTGGTGCTGTCTGGAAGAGGGAAAAGGGGTCAATGATCACTGGTGATGGCTCAGGCGCCATCACCAGGTGGCAGGAGGCCGGGTGGCAGGACACCGTTTCTGAGGCACATTTGTGTAATGCCAGGGCTGGAGCAGAGACCCATGAGGCTCTTCCCTGCCTGCAGAGTCCCCCAGGTTGCCGGGAGTGACCCCCAAATCACCCAGGGTTAGCATATCCCCGCTGAACACAGTGCCTCGCTGTGGCACACCCACCAGCAGTGCTGGATGGCTGAAGGGACAGCAAGCTGAACCTGGAGGAGGTGCCACTGAGAGACGGGGAGGCCAGTCCAGGCAGGAGGATGGCATGATCACAGGTCCGGAGAAGGGAGACTCAGAAATGGACGCATCTTGGGGAGCAGGGGAAAGGTGGCTGCACTGAGGAGCAGTGGACAGCTGAGGCCAGGGAACTCAGCAGAGGCCTGACCAAGCAGAGCTCTGAATGACGAGCAGAGAACCCCGAAGAACACAGAGAAGCCCACCTAGCCCTGAGCTTCCCCCATCCCCCACAGGGACCCTGAGCTCTGTTTTGCCCCTCTCCAGCCAGCGCCTGCTGCTGCCTCCCCCTCTCCCAGCTCTCCAGGGAGACAGTGTTTCCCTGCTTCAGTCCTGAAGGGGCTCCTGGAGACCATCTTTTGTGCAAGTAAATGTCGTCCCCAGTGGGTGGCCACCCCATCCTGGGCTCCCAGCCCACTGGTTGGCTCCCAGCTCAGTGGGGCCTGGGAGCCAAATAAAGGGCAAAGGGACCCTGCAGAAGTTCAAGGGGGAAGCGAGGCAGGACTCCGAGCTGCTTTCCTCTCGCTTTGTTTTTTTCCTTAGTCCATGCTGGCCCACCTGTGACCCCTGCTGTCTGTCACCTGCTCTGCTGGATCCAAGATGGCCCTGTGGTGCTACTGTCTTCTCTGCCTTTTGGTACCTACACCTCTGGGAGGGCAGTGCCAGGGAGGAGGTCAAGGGGACTCACAGCTTGGAAGGTTCCAAGTAGCCATCCCACCTCATGAGGTCACCGCAAAGGTCACGCAAGATGAGCCCCAGTACAGATGGAATAAAAGCCCTCACTAAGGGCAACCACGCTTACTCATCAGCCTCTTTACTCCTCTCCCAGGGAAAAGGCTCAGGGCTGCGAAGGGACCTCCCAAGATCACACTCGGGGTGGCGGGATTTGAATCCAGGTCTGACTGCAGAGCCTGCAGCTTCCACTGAATCCCACCCCCAGCCACCCCCAGAGTAGGCATTCAATAACTGCAAGTGTGGGGGAGGGCAGCCCCAGCCTCTGCCTGTCTTCTTCTCTCCCAGATCAGGAGTCTCTCTGGGACCCCCTCCAATTCCCCAGGTGAATCAAGGAGCCCTTGGGCCCCAGGTTGGTATGAGGGATCCCCCAGGGAGGGTTCCCATCCCCCAGCTAAGCAAGTCTGTGGTCCAGGGGGTGCACCAGCCTAGGATGCAAAAGAAGGGACAAAAGACATTTGGTTCCACACCCACCAGACCAGGCCCTGCAAGGAAAGCTTCACTGGTTCCCACCTCATTCCCGCCATAGTGCAGACGATGAAACAAGCTCTGCAAGAGGACAGGACTCAGGCGGCCAGACATGGCCAGAGTTCAGCCCATCCAGGCCTGAATGACTCCAAGCCGTGTCCTTAGCTCCGCCCAGCCCTGGAAGGGTCAGTTGCCCACAAAATGCATCCCACGCTGTCTCTCCTATCATTTTCAGCCCCCGTGGCCCCCGGCGAGGTGGTAGAGACTGCAGGTGGGGTGTGCAAGTTCTCTGCACAGCGGCTGAGCTGGTGGCAGGCCCAAGAGTCCTGCGAGCAGCAGTTTGGCCACCTGGCACTGCAGCCCCCTGATGGGGTTCTTGTTTCACGGCTACGCGACCCGGTCTGGATGGGCCAAAGAGAGGCCCCTCTGCGGAGACCCCCGCAGAGGCGTGAGTGTGGGCCCCTGGGAAATGGGAGCAAGGGGCAGAGGCTCTGGTGACCTTCAGAGATGACAGCCCACAGTGACCACACTTGCAGAATGAGCCGGGAATAAGACCCTATTACATCTCCAGCTTCCCTTGCCCTGGACTGGACATCCCGGCCTGACTCCTGGGCAGCAGAATGCTAGCCTCCATTTCCTCCTTCCTGAGTCTGGGAGGCACCCCAAAGCCTGGAAGGGTCCCGCCCTTGCAGGGGCAGGAGCAGGACCGTGTACACAGGTGAGGAAACTGAGGTCACAGCCCACGTGTCCCCGCAGGTACGCACACCACCGCCGCGCTGGTGTTCGGCCAGAGGACGGCTGACCGGGCGGCGCGGCTGCGGAGCCCCCTGCCCGAATTGGCGGCGCTGACCGCGTGTGCTCACCTGCAGTGGGACTGTGACTCGCCTGACGCCGCAGCTCTCTTCTCCGTCGCCGCACCAGCGCTGCCCAACGCGCTGCAGCTGCGCGCCTTCGCCGAGCCGGGGGGCGTGGTGCGCGCTGCGCTGGTGGTGCGTGGGCACCACGGGCCCTTCCTCGCCGTCTTCCGCGCCGACCGCCGCTGGCACCATGTGTGCGCCACGTGGGAGCAGCAGGGCGGGCGCTGGGCGCTGTTCTCCGACGGGAGGCGGCGCGCTGGGGCGCGGGGGCTGGGCGCGGGCCACCCGGTGCCGTCTGGCGGCATCCTGGTGCTGGGCCAGGATCAGGACTCTCTGGGCGGCGGCTTCTCGGCGCGTGACGCCTTCAGCGGCAATCTCACTGACTTCCATCTGTGGGCGCGGGTGCTGAGCCCCGCGCAACTGCACCGGGCACGGGCCTGCGCGCCGCCCCACGAGGGCCTGCTCTTCCGCTGGGACCCGGGCGCTCTGGACGTCGCGCCCTCGCTGCTGCCCACGGTGTGGGTACGCCTTCTCTGTCCCGGTACGGGCCGCCCCGCCTCTGCCCCACCCCATGGCCGTGAATCCTTCCCTTCAGTCCCTGGGACTCGACCCACCCCTTGTCAACCAAGCCACGCCCAGCTCTGGCCACGCCCTCTCCGGGCCAGCTGGCTTGCGAAGTCAGCATCAGCTTGGTCCCAGCTGCCTGGGGCTCTACGTTCGTCCCCTGGCCGCCTTACCCCAGCCCCGTGCCGGCCACAGTGTCCCTCTCTCAGGTCTCACATTGTCCCCTAACCCCGGGGCAGTGCATCCTGGCTCGCCAGGGTGCGCAGGACTCCTAGAGAACGCTGACACCTCCCCCGGCCCTGCCAGTGCCCTCCGAGGAGTGCCCCACATGGAACCCAGGACCTCGCACCGAGGGCTCGGAGCTCTGCCTGGAGCCGCAGCCCTTCCTCTGCTGCTACCGGACAGGTGTGCCCTGGCTGTGGCCCTGGCCTCTGCTGAAGGGGAAGCGGGTGTGGAACGGGGTAGATTGAGAAGAGGGTGAGCTGTTGACAAAGTCTGGGAATTCAGAGTCTTCTCAAAGCTTTCAAGGTCTCCATGGAGTCTAGCCTACAGAGCAGTGGGTCCAGACAGACCTGAGGGTGAATCCCAATTGTGTGACCTTGGGCAAGCTCTTTGGCCATTCTGTGCCTCAGTTTCCCCATCTAGAACACTGTATGTAAGCCTCTGGACACACAGCCATCAAGGTGCTCTTCTTCCCCTGGGCAGCACGTGGTGGGTGGAGGTCCCCGAGCAGGCTGGCCACCTGTGGGCAGGGGCGTTGCCTGGGGTCCAGCCTGGTATCCCCTCCTCTGCAGAGACCTATCGGCGGCTGCAGGATGCCCAATCGTGGCCTGGCCAGGATGTTATCAGCCAAGTCAATGCCTTGGCCAATGACATTGTGGTGAGCTCCCTTACAGGGGCTGGAGAGCCTGGGGGCTCCGTGGGTCACGTCTCTGTACCTCAGTTTCCTCCCCTGTAAAGGGGACACACGCCTGATGTGTCTGCAGGAACTGAGGCCATTCAGGCTCCCTATTTTGTAGCCCCTGAGAGTTGGAGGCTTGTGATAAATTTGATGGGTGCCCACCAAGAAGACCCTGGCAAAGCCCAAGTGTGGCCCCTGGAGGGATCCCCTCATGACAGCCAGACCCAGATTCAGTGGCTCCTCTGCCCACAGCTCTTTCCAGATCCCCTCTCTGAAGCCCGTGGGGCCCTGTCCCTGGCAGAGGCCTCCAGCTTCCTGGGCCTTCTGGAGCATGTCCTGGTGATGGAGGTGTCTTCTCTGGGGCCGGCCGCACTGCTGGCTGTTGTGTGCTTCCTGAAGAGGGTGGCGGCCATCGGGGCTGGGGAGCCGGAGCTGTTGCTGACAGGGCCGTGGGAGCAGCTGGGCCAGGGCGTTGTATCCGTGGCCAGCCTGGTCCTGGAGGAGCAGGTGGCTGACACATGGCTGTCCATCCGTGAGGTGAGGCTGGCAGGGCTGGGTGGGCCAGGGGCCTGAGCTGTAGTTCCAGCCTAGCCACCAGCTGGGTGTGTAGCTGTAGGGGAGTCAGCACCTAGCTCCAGGCTCCATCTCTCTGCACCCATCGGGAGAAGCTTCTCTTTTGTCTATTTGATAAGTTGAACTTCCACAAGCAATTGTACTTGAGGCCGGGCGCGGTGGCTCCTGCCTGTAATCCCAGCACTTTGGGAAGCCAAGGCAGGTGGATCACTTGAAGTCAGGAGTTCAAGACCAGCCTGGCCAACATGGTGAAACCCTGTCTTTACTAAAAATACAAAAATTAGCCAGGTGTGGTAGCAGGTGCCCATAATCCCAGCTACTTGGGAGGCTGAAGCAGGAGAATCGCTTAAACCTACGCGGCAGAGGTTGCAGTGAGCCAAGATTGCACCACTGTGCTCTAGCCTGGGTGACAGAATGAGACTGTCTCAAAAAACAAAACAAAACAAAAACGAAAACAAAAAACAATTGCACTCGAACAAAAGCTTCTGCAGTTAAATGAAGTAGTGAAGAACTGCCAGTTAGTAAGAGCCTCCCTCATCTCCAAGAATCTGCTGACACCTTAAGTGAGGGAGCTATGCCAAGTGGACGGTCCGCCTTGTCTGCCTAAACAGCCCAGACACTCTGGACAACATTACAGGTGCTATCCAGATGCAGAGGCTATTGGAAACTTCATTCTGGCAGAAGTGGCTGTCGGCCTGGGAGTGATCAGCCCAGAGCAGGGAGGGAACAAGAATCATGGACAGTGCCTGCAAATTCTCTGGGGCTGAAGGAGCAAACATGGTCCCCCGTGAGCCTCAGGGGACAGAACTGGGACTAAGACATGGGGGTAGGGGAAACGGCATAACACAGGAGGCTGGTTCTATGGAATGGTGCACCATGGGTAATGAGCTCCCCATCCTGGGAAGTGTGCAAGCCCACAGTTGATTAGGGATCCAAGGCACTGCAGTAGACTGGGGAAAAGCTAGGCTGAAGTTCAGTTTTCTCCCTTGGGGAATGGGGATGATCACACCGCCCTTGCTAAGGCAATGGAGAGGCATTAAGGGATGAACAGTGTGACTTGCCCAGCACAGAGTAGGCGCCCCATAAATGCATGTTCCTCCCCTCCCTCCCTGCTCCCACTACCCACACCCCCATGGCTTTCCTTTTGGAATGTCAGTGTTGCGCACCCATTATAGGTCTAGCACTGAGCCTCAGTGAAGGTGGAGGCATGGCGCAGCCTTCAGAGTGTGCTGTAGTTGGCAAACAGGCCAGCAGGCACAGAGCGCTCGAAGGTTTGACTGGAGGACGGCGTGGTTGGGAGACAGAATTGGACCAGTCGAAAGAGGCTGGGGCAGGCAGGGCTTCAAATGTCAACCTGAGGACCCAGGACTTGATCCTGGAGGCCCTAAAGAGCCACGGAGGGTCTGGAGAAGGCGGGACCACCTCCCAGATCATGGAGCATTTTCCCCAGCGCTCAGGGCAGGTGGCAGTGGGGTGCAGAGTGTGACAGGGAGCTGAGATGCCGCATCCTCACAGGTGGTTGGCGGGCCTATGGCCCTGGTGGCGAGTGTGCAGCAGCTGGCACTGCTGCTGAGCACCACGATGACCTCAGAACGGCCCCGAGTGCGCATCCAGCACCGCCATGCTGGTAAGCCTGCACCCACCAGCCCACACGGCTGGACCCTGCCCTCTTTCCTCAGCCCTGGTGACTGGGAGCTGTCTGTGCCTTCACAGACACTGCATTCTGTTTACTGCCTTTGCCCATGCTGTGCCCTGCATCCAGAATGCCCTCTCTCCCTTGATCTCCTAGTAAACGCCTATAGCTCCTTTAGAACCCTGGGTGGGCATCACTCACTCTAGGAAACCTTCCTGTTTTAGCTCTCTCCTCCTCTAAGAGATAGTTCCTCCCGCCTCTGTTACCCCAGAACCTTGAACGTGTCTTGCCTTGCACTTCTGGTAATCACATAATGGGATGATCTCCCTCCACGGGACACTCCCTGAGTGGTAGGGCTATTTCTGAGCCGTCTCTCATCTCCTGGCCAAGCCCAAGTGCACACTCAGCAACTGTCTATAGCCTGAGTGGGGGTGCACCTGTGGTGGAGCTTCAGGTACAAACCCATGTCCCTCAGGCATCCACCAGTTTCTGTTGACTCATCGATATTCACATCCTGCCTCTCGGTGACCCCCCTTTCTCAGTGACACCCTTCCCCTGGATTTGAAAAAATCAGATTTGCTTTGGGCAAGTCGCTGCAACTCTCTGAGCAGGAATGGTGGCCTCCTAGGCCTGTGGCAGGAAGAGACGGATGCAGACCCTGCCAGCTGGGCCTGCTCGGCAGAAAGACCTCCATCCGAGGTCCAGCCACAGCCTCATTTACCCCCAGGCCTGGAGGTGCGGCGCTTACATTTGAGGGAGGCCAGCAGGAGCGGCTGCTTATTTACGATGCCCGGTGGGCGTCCCGAAGGCCCCAGTCACATCCACATTCCTACGGGTGAAATGAGGCGACTCCTTGGGAAAGGTCGGTGAGGATGAGGGGGTGGCCAGAGCCCTGTTGGGTTCTGGGTCAAACCTCAGCTCTAACCATTGCCAGCTGTGCTGCTCATCTTTCAGAGCCTCAGTTTCCTCGTCTGTAAGATGGGCACATTACTATTTGCCTTGTGGCTTATGAGGTTAAAAGCACCCACCGCAGAGTGGTGTTCACTTAGTTTTCTCCACTGAAACACACACGTCTTTCAACAGGAGTGGGTGGTGGGGGGAGACCCCTCCGCGTGATACCATGCAGGGGTGGGGGATTGGGCAAGGGGCAAAGGGACTTGGAGTTGTGAGGCTAAGCACATGGATTGTGGCTGGTTGGAATTTAGGCTCCCCCACGTCATAGCTGTGTGATCTTAGGGAAGTCATTTAACCTCTCTGAGCCTCAGTTTCCCTATCTGTAGAGTGGGGAGAGCATCATCCTCAGGGCCAACTGGTGGTGCTTGCCCAGCCACCGGGTGTTGCCTTGGTGCCCCTTCCACTCAGCCAGGCCTCTCTGGAGTCACCGTGATTCACAGCTGGTTCACCTCCAGAGTCTTCCAGCAGACCCTGTGGGGGCTGGGTCTAGAGCCCCAGGCCCCCGCCAGCTCAGAGAAGGCAAACAGGGTGCAGAGGTGAGTAGGTACCACCTGGAGGGCTGTGAGGGCCTGTGTCCCCTCCCCAGGGAGGGCCAGGGTCCCCATTCTGGTGGCCAAATGTGTCCTTAGCAGCCCAGGGCCCACCCTTTCCCACCCCTGCCCGACACACACACACTTCTGCACCTCCCGGAGATGAACATAACTCAACTCTTGTCTGGGGTTCTGGCTTCTGTGTTAGGACTTACCCAAGTTACCAGTAAGTCCCTAAGGCAAGACTGAACCAGGTGCCATAATTCTTGCTATCTCTTTGGACACAGAGCCTGCCTCCTCCACCATAGGGACCTGGGTGACACGCCCCAGCCAGGCACCATCCCTCCTCCACAGCCACCCTTGAAAGCTCTCAATCTTCCCACAGGTTCCTAAGCACCCAAGTGGGGTCAGCCATCATCTCCTCTGAAGTGTGGGTCGAAACTGGAGAGGTCAGCATGGCCGTGAACTTTCATCTGCAACACCAGGCCCAGGTACTGGGTGGCGCTTCTGGGAAGCCGGCATCCTGGTGCACTTATCCTGGCTCAGTTCCCCCAACCCCCAATATTTATTCCTTGGACAACCAAGGACTAATAATGCACGCAGAATATACCTGCGAGGTACCTCCATTGCCCTCGAGGGAATGGAGAGGGAAGCGACTGGCTGCAGGGTCACCTTCTGGCAGTGGCCACGGATACACAGCATCCGTTTAATCCTCCAGCTGCAAAGAGGTCAAGACCAGCCTGGCCAGCATAGTGAAACCCCGTCTCTATTAAAAATACAAAAATTAGCTGGGCATGGTGGCATGCGCCTGTGGTGCATGAACACCACAGAAGAATCGCTTGAACAGAGGAGGTGGAGGTTGCAGTGAGCCGAGATTGCGCCACTGCACTCCAGCCTGGCAACAGAGCAAGACTCCATCTCAAAAAAAATAAATAAAATAAAATAACACTATGTCCATCACTAGGCGACTACTTTAAAAGTTTTGTAGGTCTGGGCGCAGTAGCTCACGCCTGTAATTCCAGCACTTTGGGAGGCTGAGGCAGGTGGATCATGAGGTCAGGAGTTCAAAACCAGCCTGGCCGACATGGTGAAACCCCATGTCTACTGAAAATACAAAGTTAGCCAGGCATGGTGGTGCACACCTGTTGTCCCAGCTACTCAGGAGGCTGAGGCAGGAGAATCGCTTGAACCCGGGAGGCGGAGGTTGCAGTGAGCCAAAATCACACCACTGTACTCCAGTCTGGGCAACAGAACGAGACTCCATCTCAAAAATCTCTCCATATCTGGCCGGGCGCGGTGGCTTACGCCTGTAATCCCAGCACTTTGGGAGGCCGAGGCGGGTGGATCACGAGGTCAAGAGATCGAGACCATCCTGGTCAACATGGTGAAACCTCGTCTCTACTAAAAATACAAAAATTCAGCTGGGCATGGTGGCGTGTGCCTGTAATCCCAGCTACTCAGGAGGCTGAGGCAGGAGAATTGCCTGAACCCAGGAGGCGGAGGTTGCGGTGAGCCGAGATCGCGCCATTGCACTCCAGCCTGGGTAACAAGAGCGAAACTCCGTCTCAAAAAAAAAAAAAAAAATCTCTCCATATCAGTAGCCAGCGGCCTGTGTGTTCACCCTACCAGATACAGTGTCACAAGGAGGAGAGAGGGGCAGTTGCTTAACTGCTCCTCGGTGATGTGATGGCTGCTCAGCTCCTTCCCAGTTTTCCACCTTGCTTACCATGCTGGAATGAGAGTCTGCACTCCTCTCCTTCCTCTGCCTCCACTCTGCCCTTTCACCCACGATGCATGGTGGGCAACTCCCTGGTCCCTCAAACCCAGAGTCTCTGGTATCCCTGCCTCCTCCTGATCTCTCTCCTTGCCCGTCCACACTCACACCTGCCCCATGTCCCCCAATCTATGCTCATGCACCGGTCCTGTCCCTGTCTCCTGCCCCCCAGGCCTTCCGTCAGAAGCTGGTGGAGCCTGTCTGTGCTTTCTGGAACTTCAGTATCAGGTGAGTTTCCATTTGCAGGCTCTTTGACCAGGCTGGAGTGCAATAGCACAATATCAGCACACTACAACCTCCGCCTCCTGGGTTCAAGTGATTCTCCTGCCTCAACCTTCCGAGTAGCTGGGATTACAGGCAGGCACCACCACCCCCGACTATTTTTGTGTTTTTAATAGAGACCAGGTTTTGCCATGATGGCCAGGCTGGTCTCAAACTCCTGACCTCATGTGATCCACCCGCCTCAGCTTCCCAAAGTGCTGGGACTACAGGTGTGAGCCACGGAGCCCAGCCTTTAAGACAATTTTTTAAAAAGACATAGACTCTGCCTGGGGATGAGGTGGGACGCATGGTTTTGGTTTTGGCCTTCATTCACCATCTGCCTTTCGGGGGTGACTCCAGGCTCCTCCCTGCTCCAGGACAAGCTAGGGCAGGGGGATGTATTACCCGGGGGGTAGTGAGCTCCCTGGGTCACAGGAGATATGTGAAGGAGGAGGCGCTCACTCTGTGAGGTGCCTTGGAAGAGACTCATCTTGTCAAATGGGTATTGAACTTGATCTATCTGAGGTCAGGGCCCCAGGGCTCTTGACGGAGCAGAGCAGGCTCCAGGGATTAGCCTGGCTCCCAGCCTTAGACCTTTAGCTGAGATAGGGAACCTTGGTCCCAGGGGCTCAGTAATTAATGAAGTTGATAAATGGCAATCACTGGTATCAGCCCTACCCTCCTGCCATCCTAAGAATGTCAAGTACGTTTTACAGGTGAAAAACTGGGGCCCAGGAAGGGGCGGTGACTCGCCAAGGTCACATAGCTGCTTAGAGGCAGGGCAGTGACTGGCCTCTGCTCGCCCCTGGCCCCTCACCCCCTTGTCCACCTTATCTCAAGAGCCCTTTGTTCCCTCCCCATCCCCCAAGCCCATATACAGGGGGTGCCTGGGCCACCACAGGCTGCTCCGTGGCTGCTCTGTACCGGGACTCCACCGCCTGCTTCTGCAACCATAGCACCAGCTTTGCCATCCTGCTGCAGGTCTATGACGTACAGGTGAGTGCAGGTGGGAGGGGGCGTCGGGAGGGGGTTCTCAGCTGGAGGTGAAGAAAAGAGCCAACAGGTAGTAAGAAGAGGGCTTTGGCTGGACACAGTGGTTCATGCCTATAATCCCAGCACGTTGGGAGGCTGAGGTGGGTAGATCACAAGGTCAGGAGCTCAAGACCAGCCTGGCCAAGATGATGAAACTCCGTCTCTACTAAAAATATAAAAATTAGCTGGGCATGGTAGTGGGCGCCTATAATCCCAGCTACTCTGGACACTGAGGCACGGAATTGCTTGAACCCAGGAGGCGGAGGTTGCAGTGAGCCGAGATCATGCCACTGCACTCCAGTCTGGGCAACACAGTGAGACTCCATCTCAAAAAAAAAAAAAGCCTCTGAGGGATGCCAGCTTTCATAGATCGTGGGGGACAGGGCTGGGCACAGTGGCTCATGCCTGTCATCCCAGCACTTTGGGAAGCCTTGAGCCCAGGAGTTCAAGACCAGCCTGGGCAACATGGAAACCCTATCCCTCCCTGTGGCCATGTCTGTCAGAGCTCTGAGTAGCTGTCCGATCAGTGGAATACGGGTGAATTGGGATCAGTCTAGGGAGAGCCAGCAGGAGAGAAGGACGTGCTCATGCCTGCTTATTAAACGCCTACTGTGTGCAGGCCTGGGCCCTGCTTTGAGGCGAATGCAGCGTGGGGGGCCTTAGAGTCACCAGGCGGGGCGAAGTCTGGCCTGGCTCGGGTCTGGGTGGTGCCCGGAGGTTTCTCTGTCCCTCCATACAGAGAGGCCCTGAGGAGGAGTCGCTGCTGAGGACCCTCTCGTTTGTGGGCTGTGGCGTGTCCTTCTGTGCTCTCACCACCACCTTCTTGCTCTTCCTGGTGGCCGGGTGAGGAGAACGCACCATTGTGACCTGGTGGCCCGGGACCTCCCCGCCCCGCAATGGCCTCCGTGTCTCCATCAGTCGGGTGTCCATCCTTGGCCCCAGAGAGCCTCGGTCTGAGCCTCTCCTTAGGCTGTGCTGAGCCCCGCAGAGCTGCCCATTCAGGGGACCAGGCGGGGCAGGCCCTACAGGGTGTGAGGATTGGCAGTGGTGTCCTTGTTAACTGACTCCTCTGCCCCTCCAGGGTCCCCAAGTCAGAGCGAACCACAGTGCACAAGAACCTCACCTTCTCCCTGGCCTCTGCAGAGGGCTTCCTCATGGCCAGCGAGTGGGCCAGGGGTAATGAGGTGGGCAGCCAGTGGGTGGGCTGAGAGCCAGGGAGGCCTGGGAAAGTGCCTGTGGGCTTTTCTGGGGTGACTCCCCGCCCCCCAACATTTTCACATGGCTTCATTTCCCGGGGAAGGAGCAGGACCCAGGGAAGAAAGGCCCTGAATGGTGGGCAGGGCCCAGGCTGCTGTCCAGAGGACTTACCCACTGGCACCTCTTTGGGTTGGCAAGGTCAGGCTGGGTATGGGGCCCCAGGGCCAGCCTGCACCTGCAGCTGACCTCGGACCTCTGTGGGGACCCCCTGCCCTCCCACAGGTGGCGTGTGTGGCTGTCACCATTGCGATGCACTTCCTCTTCCTGGTGGCGTTCTCCTGGATGCTGGTGGAGGGGCTGCTGCTGTGGAGCAAGGTGGTGGCCGTGAGCATGCGCCCTGGCCCACGCATGTGGCTCTACCATGCTACCGGCTGGGGTGAGGCCTGCTCTGTGCCTGTGCTCTGCCTTGAACCCCAGACCCTGCCATCTAACATGGCTCTCGCCCAGCACTCAGCACCCAGCACTCAGCATCCAGCACTTAGCATCACTGAGCACCCAGCACCACCCAGACCCATCTCTGACATGACCTCAATTCCTCAGTTCTATTAACTTTCAATTTACCCAACCCCATTCCTCATCATCCTCCTCCACCTCACTGCCTTCCTCCCCATCCCCAGTGCTGTCTCCACGAAGCTACAGCTTGCAGGGTGGGGCCTGGGTCTTGGAGAGGAAAGAGCAGGTGACCCGGCCCTGAGGCCCCTTCTCCCTCCCCTAGGCGTGCCAGTGGGCATCGTGGCGGCCACTCTGGCCACACAGCCCCATGACTATGTGGCCCCCGGACACTGCTGGCTCAGTGTGCACACAGACGCCATCTGGGCCTTCGTGGGGCCTGTGCTCTTCGTGCTGACTGTGAGCCGGGGATCTGCAGGGGAGGGATGTGTTGGGGACGGGGAAGTTCCCTAGCCCACTGACCCCAGGTCTCCAGGCCAACACCTGCATCCTGGTCCGTGTGGTGATGGTCACCGTGTCCAGCGCCCGCCGCCGTGCCCGCATGTTGAGTCCACAGCCCTGCCTGCAGCAGCAGATCCGGACCCAGATATGGTGAGGGCTTGGAATGGGGGGACAAGAGGAAGCAAGGAGTGCTGGCGCCAGGCAAGAGGCTCACTGGGCGAGAGTGCGTGCAACTCTGTGTCCAGAGTGTGGCCATGTGGCCGTGCCTGATTCTGTATTATGTGGGTGTACACAAGTCCCTGCATCTGTTTCGCACACATGCGGGCTTGTCAACATGTGTCAACATGCACCCCTGCGTGTCACATGTGGGGATGGCCACTGATCCGTGTGAGGGGTGTGGACACCAGCCACTGTTCGGAGTGCATTCTCTGCAGAAGGTACTGATGGCCTGCAGGGAATAAAGTAGGGGACATGCTCAAATCAGGTTAGCCCCAGAAGTTCAGGTTCAGGGTGAGAGGCTCTGGGTCCCCGTTCCTGCCAAAGACCCCCATTGCCTTCTGGGGTCACGCTGGTGAGAGAGAGGGATCCACTGGCCTTCTTCCCCAGCCCTGCCTCCTTGCTGGCCTACCCTTTTCCCTCCCATCCTCCACCAAGTACAGGGCATCCCAAGCCGGGGGGTCCCCAAAAAGCCAGGGAACCCCAGGGTCCTTAGAGAGGAAGAAGGGAGTCTTTCTGACCCTATCCGTGCTGGTCCGACTGCTCAGGCCTCAGTCCCCACTCTGGACAGCTGCCACCCCATTCCTTCCAACCAAGTTGGGGGCTGGAACCCCATCTCCCAAGTGCCACTACCCTACTTCATGCCACCTCTGTCTTTGAGGAGGGGGCAACAAAGTCCAGTCAAAGGTCCTGGCTCCCCCAGGTCCTGCTGAGCCGTGGTCCTCCTAAATCCTGCTGAGCCGTGGTCCTCCTAAATCCTGCTGAGCCACGGTCCTCCTAAATCCTGCTGAGCCATGGTTCTGGCCCTCAGCTCCTGCCCCTCTCTAGTCACTTACAGGTGCTGCTCTCCCTGGAACCCTGCAGGGAGCTCCCTAGGCCCCCCAACCCCCATCAGCCCTGTCTGCCCTCCTACAGGGCCACAATGAAGCCTGTGCTGGTCCTGCTGCCCGTCCTGGGCCTGACCTGGCTGGTGGGCATCCTGGTGCACCTGAGCCCTGCCTGGGCCTATGCTGCCGTGGGCCTCAACTCCGTCCAGGTACCTCCACGCCCCAATCTTCTGGGACGAGGCCTTGATGCGCATGGAAGCTGAGAGAGGATGACTGGTGTGCCAGGGCCTGGGGAGGGGTGAGCTCTCCATCCTGGGAGGCATTCAACAGCAACTGGGACATTCTATCAAAGAAGGGGTTTTGAGGGTGGGAGTGGGAACAGGCAGGCTCCAATCAACCAGCTTTTAGGGCCCCTCTGCCAGCTGGGGAGGCTGAGGCCCAGAAAGAGTGCGCTTGGACACTCAGAGTCCGGCAGAAATTCCAGCCTCCAGGCTGATGCCAGAGCCACTCAGTTCTTGCCAGGAGGCTGGGGAGGGGACACAGGGCATCGGTCACCTCCCCTTGGGGTCTGCGGCTGCTGGGATGGCAGTTTAGAAGAGGGTTTGGTGAGAAGGTGGGTGCTCAACCTGCGTTAGGAAGGGCCTGGGCTCCCCGGCTCCTCGTGGCCTGTGTTCTGGAGCCACCGGGAGGGGGCCACTAAGACCCTCTCAGCAGACTGGCATGTCTGTGGGGGACCAGAACATTAACTGAAGTGACAGCTGGGGGGCTGGGTGCTGGGAGTCAGGGAGACCCACTGAGGCCCTTCCCGGCCCCTCCCTTTCCCTCGACCTCCCTGGACCATCCCCCCCAGGCACATTCCCGTCGCCTGCACCCCCTACCCCCTGCTTTCCCAGTGCAGGTCCTTCTCAGGGCCAAAAGGTAGGTGTGTGAGGGCCCAGGCTGGACCACACAGGCTCAGGAAGTCAGGTGCAACCCCCCCGGGTCGGTGTGCCCTTGAGCTGGGAACTCTCCCTCTTTTCCTTGGAGAAGGGGGCCGAGGTGGTAACAGAGGCTCATGGTGCCTGGGTGCTCCCTAGACCCTGGCCAGGCTCCTGTTTTTATCTCCCAACAAGCCTTGTAAGCGGGGAAACTGAGACCTCATGAGGTCCCTTGCCCAAGGCCCCCCAGGAGGCAACAGTCATGCCGGGGCACCACTCCAGAGCCCGCGTTTTCAGCCACAGGGCATCCAGCTATCGCAGCAGATGGGTCCAGGCTGGTCCCTGGGAGGGTGCTGGGACCCAGTTGCTCATTCATCTGTGTGCTCTTCACGGCTTGCCCGTGTGTACCAGGCACTGTGCCTGGTGCCGGGGCCACAGCAGCAAATGGGGAGCGAGAAGCCCCTGTATTCATTGAGCTGCCTTAGAAGAGCAGGCAGACCATGGCCACGATGAATAAATGAAGTGTTAGGCGAGGGGACAAAGCAGGGGAGCCCTTCTTCCAAGCCCCGCTCCCTGCAGCACTTCATGGCTGGGCTCAGGCTTGCTGGGCTTCTCTACCTGTCACACGGTGGGGCGGGTGCGGCACCTTGTTGCCATGGTGATTCCTCCAGCTCTTTGCCAGGTGCCCCCTCTCCATGACATGGGGGGTTCCCTGATGCTCTCCATCCTCACCTGTGCCCCTCAGGTGGGCAGACACAGCCATGGGGCAATGCCACCGTCACGCTGGCTCGGCTCCCTCCTTTCCCTTCTCTTTCTTTCCTCTCTCTCTCTCTGTCCCATCTGGTCTCTGAATCTTCTCTGGTTCTCTCAGGCTCTCCCTGTGTCACTGTCCCCCTCTCCCTGTGCCCTCCGGCCGTGGATGTTTGTCCTGGCACTGACCCCACCTGGCTCTTCCTGGGCCTTTGTGTCTCTCCACTCCTCTCCTCTGTCTGTCACCTCTTTTTTTTGTGAGATGGAGTCTCATTCTGTTGCCCAGGCTGGAATGCAGTGGTGCGATCTCTGCTCACTGTAACCTCTGCCTCCCAGGTTCAAGCAATTCTCCTGCCTCAGCCTCCTGAGTAGCTGGGATTAGAGGTGCCTGCTACCACACCTGGATAATTTTTGCATTTTTAGTAGAGACGGGGGTCTTACCATGTTGCCCAGGCCAGTCTCAAACTCCTGACCTCAAGTGATCCACCTGCCTCGGCCTCCCAAAGTGCTGGGATTATAGGCGTGAGCCACCGCGCCTGGCTGGCTGACACCGGCCTTTTTATCTCTGCCTCTCCATCTCCCTGCACGTGACCCTCTCTTGCACCTGCTAAGGCAGCCTCAGATCGCCTTTGGGACACTCTCCTGGTGAGTGAAGGCCAGGAGAGGCTGCCTTAGGCAGGAGCTCAAAAGGCAGGAGTGCGGTTTGGGCTCCGCTGCTGACAGTCACCTGACCCTCTTGGGCTCAGGGCCCTGTTCTCTCTGTCCCTCTCCCCAGGCCCGGCCTGTCCCGTCACCTCTCCTTTCATCACACCAAGGCCTCTCTGTCCTCCCCCCACGCTCCACCTCCATCCCTGGCCCTCTCTCACTCTCCGTCTGTCTTGGGCATAAGCTGGATACATCCCACTCTTAGGGGGTGACCAAGTGACCAGGGAGGAGGCCTGGGACTCGGGGACGAGACTGTCCAACCTCATTCACTCTCCGGAAGTAATTTGTGTCCTTCTGGCCCGTGCTGGGTTTTGTCGAGGGAGAGCAAAGCCTCACTTCTATAACCAGCTGTGGCTCACACTTACCCTGGTGGACCGAGCCTTGTCGTGAGGTTTGGACAAGTGGCACCAGGCCTCAGTTTCTACATTTCCATGAAGGGGATTAGATTCCCACCTGCCTCGTGGGTTCGTTGTGGGGTTCAGCTGACATAACATTTGCCAAGGCTACACACAATCCCTGGCACGTGCTAGGAGCCCACAAGGGTGAGCTCATTTGTTCAGTTGTTCAACACGCACTTCCCCAGCACCTCCCTAGCCAGGGCTGGCCTGCATGCTGGGGGACATGGAGGTGCCCAGGATCAAAGAATTCTGTGACGTTCTCGGCCTGAAGGAGAGACAGACATCAAAACCACAGTGTGTCATGGCTGAGGCCGAGAGACAAGGGACTCTCAAGGCAGTGTGGGGACAGAGGAGCAGCTCCTCAGAGGCCGCATGGGCCTCCTGGAGGGGGTCACTCTCAGCTAAGACCTGACGGCTGCATGAAAAGGGGGAAAGAATGTTTTAAGCTGGGGCGGAGGGGGCATGGTGGGGTCCAATGGTGGAGAGATATGAGGGGTAAGGTTGGTAAGAAATGGGCCAGAAGGGAGTGGGGGGGCAGACAATGTGGGGTCCACAAAGCTGTTGCAAAGAGCTCAGACAGCGGGTGCAGTGGCTCACGCCAGTAATCCCAGCACTTTGGGAGGCCAAGGCAGGCAGCTCACCTGAGGTTGGGAGGTCGAGACCAGCCTGACAAACAGGGAGAAACCCTATCTCTACTAAAAATACAAAATCAGCCAGGCATGGTGGCGAATGCCTGTAATCCTAGCTATCCAGCCTGGGCAACAAGAGTGAAAACTCTGTCTAAAAAAAAAAAAAANGCTCCTCATCTTCAAGGCTCTTGTCTTCTTTGCAGAACTTCTTGAACCACCACTACACTGTACATTCATTAGCAGTTCCTGGGCCAAATGTGCTGTACATGTTGCAAGTTGTCTCCACTGCTTTACGTCCCATTTTGAACTTGAAAATGTGGCTGGGTGTGTAGGCTTATGCCTGTATTCCCAGCAGTTTTGGAGGCCGAGGTGGGCATATCACCTGAGGTCAGGAGTTTGAGACCAGCCTGGTAAACAGGGAGAAACCCTATCTCTACTAAAAATACAAAAACAGCCAGGCATGGTGGCGAATGCCTGTAATCCTAGCTATCCAGCCTGGGCAACAAGAGTGAAAACTCTGTCAAAAAAAAAAAAAAAACCACACACACACACACACACACAAAGAGCTCAGATTTTGTCCCAGGGGTCGTTGGGAGCCATGCAGGGCATCAGGCAGGTGCTGGTGTTCTGGGGTAGGCATTTGGAAAGATGCCTTTGGATAGTGAGAAGGCAGAAGGAAATGGGATGAAGAAGGCAGTGCAGAGGCTGCAGAGAAAGAACAGGCTGGGTGTGGGGACCTGGGAGGCTTCGGGGTCTGTCTTGGAGAGTAGGGTGGTGGTATCATCTTAATTGGTGCCTGGGCAGCAGGAGGACCAGCCAGGCTCTTGGGCCCCAGCTTTCAGCCCTGGGAGGCTGGAAGGCCCCAAGGAATCCCAGGCCCTCACCTGTGTTTCCCACCCCCATTCCCCCCTCCCCCGGGCTGCAGCACAGGAGCGACTGCCTGTGACATTGCCCAGGGGGGATCCCAGGACGGATGGCCTCAGAGCTGGGCCACCTGCTGGGCCATACTGGAGCTTGGGACCCATTCCTCTGTCCAACACCCCCAGCTCCTGGTCTCTCCATCAAATGGGGAGAATGAATCCACCCCTGCCACTGAGCTGCTGTGAGGGTCAAGTGAGAGCCCAAATGTGATGGTGCGGGTGGGTGGTGAGGCCTTCTTGGCACCCCAGTTGTGGCGGAGGGGGAGCTGACTCCGCCCCAGCCACTGTGTGAGTCCCTCACATGCATCCCCTCAGGAGGCAAGTCCTGGCCTCATCTTCACTTTCCAGAAGAGGCAGAGGATCAGGGAGGTGAGGGCCACTCAGCTAGAGGCGCAGTGAGAAGGCACTCACAGGGCTGTTGTCCCCTGACCTGACTGGGCCTTAGAGCTTAGGTCCCACTCCCTACCCCTTGGTGGGGCACGGAGGACTGGCATCAGAGATGCTCCTTGGTGGACAGAGGCTGAAGGCCGACGTTGTATGGGGCAAAGTCCCTCCTGGTCCCGTCCTGCTGAATGCCACAGCTGCCCCTCCGCAGGTGGGCGCCAGAGCAGGGCTGACTTCATGCCCATCAGCCAGTCTCTGGGCATCTCTGCAAGTGTCTCTGCCCCGGGGGGAGGGGCAGAACCCCAGGCAAGGCCAGGCTGTGGGGGATGGGACGGGGTCGGGCTCCCGGCTGAGGCGTCACCCACTCCCTGGGTCTGTCCTCAGGGGCCGTACATCTTCCTGGTCTATGGTGCCTGCAATGAGGAGGTGAGTCTGGGGGTGCTGGCTGCAGGGAGGAGGGTCCAAGGGGTGGGAAGGGTCCCCGGCCTGACCTCCAAGTGTTTCCCCAGGTGCAGAGCGCCCTGCAGAGGATGGCTGAGAAGAAGGTGGCTGCGCTGCTCAGGGCAATGGGGGTGTGGGTGAGGGTGGGAGGCCCCCCGGGCCAGGTCTCAGCCCCCACACCCTCTCCTTTCAGTCCTGTGCCAGCCCTGCCAGCAGGGGAACCAGCCTGAGGCCCCCAGGTCCCTGGGAGGCAGACCGAGGCAGCCCCGGGGCCTTGGCTCCACCCCGGAGACACATGGCTCTCAGAGGTACTCTTAGCACCCATTGGGAGTGCCGCCCAGTGCCTCAGTTTCCCCAGCACTCAGGTAGAGCTGGGAGGACAAGGTCCTATTGGCCCATCTGAAAAAAGGAAACCAGGGCCCTGGGACTTGAGGAATGTCCTGTCACTCGCTCCCCACTGCTAGGAAACCCAGGCTCCTGGGGCCTGGCCCAAGCATGGGGCTTGTCCAGGTCACCTTCCCTGGGGCTCCATGCAAACGGGTTTGGGGAACTCCTGGAGGTGGTGAGTAAATGGGGTCAGACCCTGAGTGGGGCATGGGTTGAATGACCTCAAGGCCAGGCCAGGGGTCCCCATCCTAGCTCCCAGTACCCCCTGTATGCCCTGGCCTTGTTCCCCTCCCTCTCCGGGCCTCATTACTAATCTGTGGGGTGAACCTTGCAGTGGATTCACAGCGAATTTGATCCTGAAGGTCCCACTCCCGGGATGGAAGTGCAGAGAGAGGGCTTCCTGCTTTCATGTCTCTCCAAAATTTGTGTTTTCCCCATTAGGGACCTATGGCCCTAGAAACCCCTCAGCCTTCTCCTCCATCGCAAACCCCGAGAGACAGGTGAGGCTGCAGTAAGGTGGGCCCCACAGGGCTCTGCTAGGGGGTGGCAAGGCCAGCAGGCAGGATCAGGAAGCCACAGGGCTGGGGGTAGGGCTGAGGTGGGGGCTTCCCCGGGATCTGTTTCTCTGTTCCTGGGTTGAAGGGTCCAGGGAGGGGAGCTGCTGGCCGCAAGCTGGCAGAGGCCCCTATAGCCAAGGGCCCCCAGGGCAAGGGGCAGCAGAAGGAGTGGGGGCCACCCCTGTGACAGCCCCTCTGTCCTCAGGCTGTGGAACTGACAGCGTTCAAAGCTTCAGGTACAGTCCCCACCTCAGGGGGTCCCCTCTTTCCTTTTTGGGACTGTACCAGGATGGAAGTGATTTGAAATCAATCATACCCAACCCCCCACAATTGCAGAGGCCCTCTCCTCACTTGGCAGGTCCTCTGGGAGCACTGGGGGCCTGGTGGGGAACAGGCAGTGCCCCTTCGGAGGGGTTCATTAGAGAATAGGTCGTGGAACCCTATTGAGAGCGGGTGCTGCCAAGGCACACAGCCTGCCTTCCTCTGTCCTCCCCCCATCTCTGCCCCACAAACCCAGTACACCCCCTCGCCCTCTGAGGGCCTCGTCCTGATGCTGTGGGATTCAGAGCCTTCCAAACTCACTGAGGGACAGCGCTTTCCTCCAAAGCTGTGGGTCCCCACCTAGACAGCTGATAGGGGAATGACAGGTGCTGGGGGACTGTGGGAGGCTGAGGACACCCCAGGTGCGACTCAGGGAGAGGACTGAAGCCTGAGGAGCTCAGCTGGGCCCAGGGAAGCCATGGGACCCTGCCCGCTGGCCGCCTCCCTCCATCTGAAACCCACACGCCCCAGCCTCAGCCAGGTGACTGTTTCCAGCAAAGGCAAGAGCCATCTCCGCCAGGCTCCTCCCAGGGCCAGGCTCAGGCCTCAGCCCAGGCACCTGCTGATTCTGATCCAGTGACAGGAAAGTGGAGGTGCCTTTCTCCACCTATTGCGCAGATGAGGAAGCTGAGGCACAGAAAGGGGCAGCCGCTAGCCAGAGCCCTCGCAGAGCCAGGGCCAGTCCCCCACTGGTGCAGATGGGAGACCCTAGGCACAGCAGTAGTCATGTGGGTGTAAGCTAAGGCCACATGAACCTGGGTCCGTGGGATCCCAGGCCCCGGCCAGGCCCCACCCCCAGCTGGCGTCTCGGTCGGGGGAGTCTCAGCTTCCCCTTCTGCAGAATGGGCTGGAGGCTCCCCCAACAGGCCCGCCCAGGCGCTCCCCGGGGCCAGAGCGCCCCTCCCCCACCCTCCCCGCCCCCACCCGCGGGCGTCGCGGCTGCAGGAACAAGAGAGCGGCGGCGGCGCCTCTGCGCTCAAGTGACGGCGCCTTTGTCTCCGCTGAATGGGTGCGTTGCTAGGGCCGCTCGTAGCAACGGAGCCGCTTCCACCTGGGCCCCACCCTCCGGACCCCCCACCCGGCCGGGCTCTCCGGACGCCCCTGCTTCCAGTCCCCACCCCACTCCGCAGCCCACTCAGCGGGGACTGGAGGCGCGGGGCAGTGTCCCTCGCGGGTCGCCACCGCCCCTCCTAAAAGGCCTCGGAGCCCTCGGGGCATGCGAGGATGGAGAAACTGAGACGCACAGAGGGGACTGGCCATGGTCTCCCCCACCCTCAGTTCCCAGAGCCCTTCCATCCCCGGCTTCTCCACCAGGACCCTCTGCCAGCCCAGCCCAAGGGCGCACTTTCCCACTAGGTTTTTAAAGCGTGCCTGGGAAACTCGCAGCCAAGCCCTGCCCAGCTCAGCTCTGCCCGGACCCCAGACCCCAGGATGGCGCAGCGGGAGTCCTCCAGAGCCAACAGCGGCCCCTGCTCCCCGGCCTCAGCCGCTCGATTTCCCTAGAGGAGTGTGAGCCCCAGCCCGGAGCTCCCCTAACCCACTGAGTCCCCAGGCTCTTTCCCCCAGGCTCTGCCTGTGATCTGCTCCTTTCCACCTGCTCCCGAAGTTCCAATGGGCCCTGCTGTGTCTGGTAATAAATAGGACCGTTGGGCTCTCCTGTCCTCTGCAAGTCCTGGCCTGGACAGAGGGAGAGGACGCAAGGCTCTCTGGGAGGAGGGAGGAAGCCAGAGAAGCTGCGCTTGGCTTTGGGACTCCAAAGCCTCAGCCTCATCATCAGGGTAGGTGCAGCCAGCATTTATGAGCACCTGCTGTATCCCTGGAGGGAGGGCTGAGCCCTTTACCGCCTTAGAGCCCTGAGCCGCCATCACTCCTGCTGTACAGAGGACACAGGCTCAGACCAGTCAGGCCTGGGGTCTCCTGGGCCCTGTAGCACAGGGGACAGGGGTGGCAGTCAGGGTGAGTGGGGACCCCAGCTCGAAGACAGCTCACAGGTCAGTTGCGAGTCTGGACACCTCTAAGTCACGCCGTGGGACCAGGACCTTCCACCACCCATTATGTGGCTGTGGGCAAGGTCATTCTGAATCTTGGTCTCTTCTTGGTAGAATGGGCTTCAGGGCAGGGAGGGGAGCAGGGATGGCATGAGGGCTCTGCACCAGGCCTGGTGCCCGGGTGGACCCCAAGGCCAGTGGCAGGGAAGTGAGGGCCCAGGCTCTGGGACTGGGAGCGCCCAGGCAGCCAACACTGTCTTGCTGACACCAGCCTGGCTCACATCCTGCTGGGGCCAGGGGAGGTGGGGCAGGGCTGGCCGAGAAGCAGCCAAGACACAGAGAGGCACCCAGAGCTCCCAGGAGCCTCCAGCTTCCATGCTGGACCCCGCCTGGGTTGAGTCTGGGACAAAATCTGACCAGAGTGTTGGCCCCATCCACACAGGTACGGGGTCCCAGGCACTTCTTGCTGGGGATGGCTGTGTGGCCTCTCCATGCTCCGTCCGTCTTCTGTAGAATGGGGGACATCATGTCCACCCAACGGCCATTCGAGGGATCTGCACAGTCCTGCGCTTGGTTCCTGGCGCAGCCCTCAGCAGGCACTCAGGGAGCATCAGCTGTGGCCTGAGACAGATGTCCAGGGCTGTAGGAGCCAGAGCCTGTGGCCCAGAGGAGGTTCAAGGCCTTGAAGGTGCCAGGCTGGGGGGGAAAAGCAGTCCAGAGAGAAGACAGCATAGCTCCACAGGGCCAGCAGACCCCTGCCCTGTGCTGGGAACACTGGACCAAGTATGGCACCCTATCCCTAGCAGGGACAGGAGGGGCGGGGCTCTGAAGGGGCAGCAAGGAGGCAGGGAACTTGGTGGCCCCCCGACTGCCTGCATCTCAGCATCCTCACCTTCAGCGGGCTCCTGTCTCCCCCAAAACCAATCATATGGGCTGTGGGGGAGGGGACAAAGGTGAGACCAAGGGATCCTTTCCCACCCCCCACCCCCCACCCTGTTCCATGTCCCTCCTGCCCCCTACACACGCCCTGCTTACTCTCCAGCCAGAGTAACTTCTCTTAGGTCCCAAAACACAGCCGCTGACACCCCTCCATCCTTCTGCTCACACTGTTCCCTCTGCCTGGACTGCCCCTAGCTCCTATCTTGCTGGTGAACTCCTGGGCATCCTTCAAAACCCAATTTGGAGGACACCTCTGCTACAAAGTCTTCCTGTTCTCCAGACCCCTCATCTTTCCCAGAAGCAGGGTCAATCACTTTCTGATCTTGTCTGTCTCAGTTATATTAAGTATCATATCAGACTACAGTCTGGCTAAAACAGTCTCCGCCTACAAGGCTGGACATTGCCCAGGGCAGAAGCTAGGGCATCTGCAGGTGCCAGGAAGAAGAGGGGCACCTTTTTCTTTGCATAAAAGCCACTGTCAAGCTGTGTGCCTGTGGCTATATTGCCCTAGAGGGGACACATTTTTAATTGCATGAAGGCCAGGGGTGGCCCTGGAGATGAACTAGTCAAGCTGGTCAAAGTGGATCAGGATCGATGGAGCTTTGCACGGTGCCCCTCTCAGCTGTGTGACCTTGAGCAAGTTGTTGTGGCCCTCTGTGCCTCAGTTTCCTCATCTGTAACCTGGGGATGCCACCTATGGAAGTGGCTGCAAAGAGCAGTAGGTGCGACCAGATGGGGCAGGAAACGCTGGGCAGGGGTCCTGGAGCGGAGGAAGCCTTGGATGGCGGCGGTGCTCACTGCCGCCACCACGTGGGGCTGGGGCGGATTCTGTGAGGGATGTGGCAGGGCAGACAGGAAAGCGCCAGGGCTCTGAGGGTTCTGGTCTCCCAGGTCTGTGGCTCATGGGCCCTTGGCAAGTGCCTTCCCCTCCTGCAGTACAACCCCTGCCACACAGGGCTGCTTCCAGGACAGTAGGATGAGGGGGGCACACAGTAGATGCCCCTTAAATGGCTGCTCCTTCTGCCCCACAATAGGGGGCTGAGCTGGCAAGGCCAGGGCACAACAGGCAGAGAGGCAACAGCATCCCCGGGCCTCCCAGTGCCCCAGGGTCTCAGGGATGAGGTGGGGCCCAAACCCCAACAAGTGCCTGGTGTCCCCCCACCCAGCCCCAAAACCCACCTGCCTCCCCAGTTTTGAGCCAGAGGGTCTGTATGCCACCTCCCTCCAGGTCAGAGCACTGCCCCACCCCCAGACCACCCAGAACCCACCGGGGCCGTTCTGCTTTGGACCCAGAATGTAAACAGGCAAAGGTAGCTGGAAACTAATTGCAAAATTTATTCCAGGACTGCGGGAGCTGGGGACATTCTTAAGGGCACTTCTCGTTTCGGGGCTGTGGGTCTCTGGCCTTGGCAGGGGCTCACATTTCAGGGGGCAGAGATGGGGACTAAGACAGGGAGGCAGAAGGCAGGGGTGCCCAGTCTCCTCCAACTGGGCAGGCTCAGCGCAAGCTGCAACAGTAACAGGAAAGCAGGGTGGACAGCAGGCACCCAGCCCGGGGATGGGAGACAGCTGAGGCCTCTCCCTAGTGCCTCGCCCTGGAGAGTTTCTTTCATAACCTAGGGCAGGAGACCAGGGAGCTGAGGCCCAGCTTCACGAGTTTGCAGCAAGGGACCCAAAAGTTTGGGGCCACAGGGAGGAGCTCAATAGCGCTGTCCCTGATCTACAGCCCCGTGCCCCTCCCAAGTTCACCTTCATTCCCACCCACAGAGACTTGAAGCCCCCAACAGGGCGTCCTGCTGTTCAGCGAGTGGGTGAAGGGCGGGCAACAGGTCTTCTCTGGGTTGGGGTTGGGGCTCAGAAGCAGTGACCCAGCACCACCCCACGGGTACTTGGTAGGCGAGTGTCCAGGGAGAAACAGCTGTCCTTAGTGCCAGTCCCCAAGCCTCAGCTTCAGCCCTCAGATCTGTCCCCTTCCCTCCACCACAGCTTTCAAGGGGTATCTAGAAGCTTAAAAACAAAAAGTGGGGGGACCTCTTGACTACAACCTTGCAGATAAATATCAGCCTGGGAGGGCCACCTCTGGGTGGGACTAGGATGTCGACTGCACCAAACGTTCTCCTCGGGCAGGAGAGGGAATCAGTGATGACCGGAGCAAAGTTCTTTCCCGATGATGTATCAAAGCTCCCTCTTGCAGAGTCAGGTGAAGTAGAAGGGCTAGCGAGGGGGACTCTGTCCTAACGAGTCTCCTGCTGTCCTCTAGGGCCCAGTGGCCCCTCCCAGTTTAGCAAACTCAGTTATCCTTAGTTTACAGAGGACCTCCCTCCTGTTCTCTGTGGGGGAACGCTGGAGACCCTCTCTCCTCCCCCAGTTGATACCTGCTCAACTTCTCCCTGTCTGTTTGGAGGAGAGGAGGAAGGGATGACCTCTGATCCAAGGGACATCCAGGCCCACTAGGGAATCCCGAACCTCCTCCCCGGACC